ATCACGCTACTCACTGAACGTGTCTTCTGAGCAAGCTTCTCGTCACACGGCATCTTCAGCACCAGACTGTCTTTCATATAATATATTTTATTTTATATAAGAAAACCACCACCTTAGAGTTTCCATCAATCCCGTCCTGAGTGCTAGACCACATAATATCACAAACCCTACAACATCTTTCCAGTCCTGTTCCCGCTGCTGTCTACCGTAGAAAGATTATTCAAATGCAAATGAAAGCAGGGGAGTCCGTTTTTCGAGGTAATTTAACCCATAATATCATCTGAATTTCATTCATATGATACCGAAGAATTAAACTGGTTTAATATATATATATATATATATATATATATATATATATATATATATATATATATATATATATATATATATATATGGATATTTTAATTAATTTTTAATTTTTATTTCATAATAGTATCTATGGCTTAATTTTAGTCGACGAACTATGTTCAGTCGGGGTTTTATTCCTGCTCATAAACAAGGTATTTTGAATTTAAAATGATATGAAATACATTTTATTTAGTATCTTTTTATTGACACAGAATTGATAAGGCAGTTATTATACATTATTAAAATTTACTAATTGGTAAATATATATCTGTTTGTCTAACTTTTTTAAAGTCGTGAGGTAGAACATACCTCTACGTCAAGACCCTGACCTAGTCTGTTTGGTCCCGAGCTAAGTTTGTCATCTTGTGTGTTAGCTGTTGTGACTGTCGGAGTTCACTGTCTGTCTTTATTCACAGAAATGGAAGAAGTAGAGGAGACATATCCTGGGTTTCAATTCAGTAACTTTGCAAGGTAAGTGTTGACAAAATATTAGAGAGGTTATATTATTGAACATTTGAACAATATTGTGAACGTTGAAAGCAATGTAAATTTGCACTTGCACACCACACTGTTAGAAGTCAAAAATATATTTTTCTAGTGTATTTGTGTGTGTGTTCAGACCGAATATGACCTTCATTTGTGGCGGAAATTAGCCGGGTTTTTGTATCGAATGTTTTTCGTTGGACATTTTCCGAAAAAAATAATGGCTTAGCGAATAAAAATACACCAAAAACAACTAGAAAAACAAAAACCAAACCTAACCGACTCACCATATGATGGAATCACCTATTTCTGGGTCCGACTAATTACCCAAATGTACCCAAATGTAGCCGCAATGAAGTCAAATACTGGTCCTACGTGAATAAATCGGACTGCCAACCACTTCTCGACTAGTATTTGGTGTCACGAAGTCACAAAAAATTGGTAAACTTAATTTAATCTGAGTTAATAGATCGAGTGCATGTACCTAACCTAACACAACTCAGATTAAATTAAGTTAACCAATTTTTTGTGACTTTATGACACCAAATAATAATCGAGAAGTGATTCACAGCCCGATTTACGCTTGTAGAACCATCCTTTGACTTCATTGCGACTACATTTGGGTTCATTTGGGTAATTACTCGCTCCCTCGGTACAAGCACGCGATCTATTAACTCGGTTTAAATTAAATTTTCCAATTTTTTGTGACTGTGACACCAGATACTAGTCGAGAAGTGGTTGGCAGTCCGATTTATTCATGTAGGACCAGTATTTGACTTCATTGTGGCTACATTTAGGTAATTAGTCGGACCGCCTATTTCTTACCTTATTGGCCTGGTTGCTGACGTTGATTCCACATATGTTCTTTGCACTTAGGACACTTTACCGAGATTGGAAGAACACCATGCGATCAAAAAAATGCTATAGTTTTTTCGTTTTTTCCCCAAAACTTGCAATTAGCTCCATATAATTTAAGTGACACCCATCGCAGACTTCCATGGTCGGAACTGAATTTGAATTTTGAAATATGAGAGACCCAGAATTATACTCGAATTTGATTGGGCCAAAATACCGGGAATTAAACCCAAAATCATTTTAGTTGGTTGCAAAAACAAAAATGCTTTTGATTGGCCGCGTGACGTGTACGGGAACGCATGCGCATGATGATTTATGAAGGAGACACACTGTGGGAGGTGAGGTAGGCGATAATGGTGCAAGATTAATGGAAGAAAATAGAGAAAATTTTGGATACGCTTTCTCCGTTATTATACATTTCCGCTGGTAATGTAATAGATGAAAATTATCTTATAATTAGATGTCTTATTCGAATATGATAATAGATTAGTGGTAGGAATGTGTGGTGTGTAAACGCAAAAGTACCGAAATCATTCTCTGGGAATTAATGAAAACAATCCATTTTGTTTTTGGCTCTACTTGGTTTAAATCGAATTACTATTTAAAAGTTGTTTGATTGCTTAAATAACTGCTGTTGATCGATGTCTTATACGGTAATGTCTGAGAACATGGAAATTTAAGAAAACATCAGAAGTTTTTTATTTCATTCCCATTTAGGCAGTGGATATTTTACCGTAAGCGCACTGATTGGATAATCGTCCATTACCAGCGAACAAACCAGTAAATTTGCAGTTTCAGCCCCAACTACTGTTCTACCGCGAATTTTTGTTTTTCCCATGGTAGTTGGTGTGATTCATTCGAGTTTGACCTTCATTTCTTTCGGAAATGAGTCGTCTTGGAGTTAAACCCCCTTTCCTCACACAGAAACCTGACCTAACAAACCAAAGGAACCTACCTAACCTAACTTCCGAGCCGACCCCTGCCATATTAAACAGAAAGTACGGTGAATTTTTCTTTATGCACCGGTCTTTCTCTCGCTGTTATTAATATGTATTTTGCAATGTTTAGACAGTTCTAAGACCCTTTTCTTCTCTGATATTTCAGCTGGAAATTAAGGATAACCAAGATATTTATTTTTCAATATTATTAGATTTCGGCAGTCACAAGTGTTGCCATTTGTTGTTTACGTCTCACAGAGAAGGTCTGACTACCTATCAAACAGTGCTCCTTACCTCCGTGTTGGCTTCTTAAGGGTCAACAGCGCATGTGCGGGGGTTGGTGTGGGAGTTTCTTATTGGCTGTAGCGATATGAGACATAATTGGGCAAGGGTTTTTTGTCTTAGCCAATGAACAAAGCGTGGGTGTTTCGGGAGCGGAGATTTGAATTTTCAGTACAAGATATGGCTAAACAGGTTGAAAAGCTGTGCCGACATTGTGATAGAGATTATTTTACGTCAATTGCTCAGTTTCGTCAAAAAAAAAAAAATAGTGAGCCATTTCATTTTTTAGAAAACACAGTGTATTACCGAACAATGTTATTTGTCCAAAGTGTAATAATCAGTGTACACTGCATGAAGAACAGCACATTTGGCCTGATTTTTCTTCAGATTAAGGTAAGAGGGAAAAAGAGGTTAGGTTAGGTTGGGTTTTTTTTGGGGGGGGGGGGGGTTACAGTCCACCGCAGATCATCAAATACCAACTCGTACCATCTCGGATAACCAACTCGGACCACTTAGATTAACGAACTCGGACTAAAAAGTAAAAGTTTAAAAATTTTTGCCTGAATGGTAAAAGTACAATGATAAAAAAGCTTCATATATTGTAAGGGGAAGGGGAATTGATTTGTTATTATTATCTTTTCATTCTATCTTATTAATATATTAATGTACACATGTGGAAGAGGTAATCTCTTTTCTTTTATACTATATATATAATTTTTTATTTAGTTCACAATTAGATCACTTTTCCTGGAAACCTGACAACGATATGAGTTACTTAATGCACAAAGGCAGAACATACCATACAGAAAACTCGGATCAAATAACAATGACCCCAAATGGATAAATAATTATTTAAAGAATATTATTGGCCAAAGGAAGGCTATAGGTAGGAGAATAAATCGTGATGAAGTTTACCTCTGAGATTATTATAAGGTACTGGCCAGTAGGGCTAAGACCGAGATAAGAAAAGTAAAGACAAATAATGAAATGAAGGTAGCATGGGAGGCAAAGTCAAACCCCAAGGGATTCTTTCAGATGTATCAAACTAAGGCCCAAATGCAAGATCAGCCGTGGTGTACACCATGCCATGGTATCTCGGCGGTGGTAATACAATGGAGTGAAAATTTTGTGATTATTCAAGATGGGCCATGGTGGTACCCGACTGTCGTTTGTTGTTACTACGTCATCGTAGTGTAGTCAGGTGTACCAACTGGCGGAAGACTTTGGGGTTGGTATGCTTGTACCCTGAAAACGTTGTCAGTGGCACGAAACGTTTGCTCTTGCTACACGATTTACGAGCATGAAAAACTTGAATCCCAAGCGAAGGTGCACCTCATTTTCCTATTTTCTTGGATGATAAGCCAATTCTGGGAATAAAATACGATCATTTACAGTGAATATAGGTAAATAAAGCCTGTGACAACCATAAAAACGTAGGAATTGAGTGTAATATCTGTTCCTTTCTTCTTTATCCTTATTAAATCTAACAATAACTTGGGGTTGGGTGAGTGTAATAAAGAGAACTATGGCCTGTTCTGTGGATGAAGTCAGTAGAATATAGCAAAGTACAATATTAGGTATTATAATTTTGTTATGACAGTGATGAACTCTCTGTACAGATGAATTGGGATAAAATCTTGAAAAAATATCACCATAACTGTTAGTTTTCTATCAAACAGGAAATTTCTTTATACAGGTACCAAAATTTTTACTTTCATATTATACAAGGCCAGTTATCTACAAGATATGAAAACTTGAGATAATGTTTCCTCCTTTTCTCCACCTGATTATAGTAATGCAATAAATACCCTTTCAAAAAAACAAGACATGAACACTTTCCCAATGTCAGGAGTAAAAATGTATACAATATGTTAAGACATGGACTAAACCAGAAGTCGAAGAAAAGTCTCTGTTGTTTAAAAAGTCTTTTATTTGGAAAAATATTACAGTGAACCCTCACTTTACGCGGTTAATTCAACCCACTGTGGCCCGCGTATAGTGAGAAACGCGTAAAGTGAACAACATAACATATGGGATTAATTGAAATAGAGACCGGGCCGACCCCCAAACTCCACTTTTTCCTGACACAATACATACGTTTTACTAAAAATAACATCTTAACTTTTGATGGTATTCACCCACACATAATATAGAAGGGAACAGTCAATAAGAGAAGAATAAACTGAAGGTTAGGTTAGAAAAAAACAAGGTTGGGGTTAACACTTACGTTAGTAGAAGAGGTGGGTCGGCGTAGGGGAATGGAGGCTGGTTCCGAGGCAGAGGGCAGGCTACTGGCCCTTAGGTGAGTCTTCATCGGTGTCATCTACACTTACTAGTGCCTCCCTGACAAATCCCTCAAAGTCATCATCACTGCCTCTGCCTCTGTCACTATCACTGGCTTGGGCTGGCTGTGGTGGGTTGCGGGCGAAGAACTCTGTTATGCTTTGCTGACGGCTGGTGTTTGTGTTGTCGTGATAAACCTTGACGTAGGGCTCCATAGTCTGCAACAGCTGGGTAGTGAAGATTTCATACCTGTTTGCGTCAGGGTCGTCGGAAAGGAGGGGCTTGACTTTCTCAATACACTCGATGGCACCCCTAACATTACTATGGGATAAGTGGCGTTCTTCTTGGGGTGACGCACCACCTGCCTCTTCACTGACGTCATCATCATCTACCATCTCGTCGGTAGTCACATGAGGATCCCTTATCACCTCCAGGATGTCGTCGTTGATGGTCTCGGAGAAGCCTGCAACTGTAACACACTGCGCAGCTTCTCTGGCAAGGTCCACTGCTACTGCAACAGTCTGAACCTCACCAGTCACAGATTTACTCTGCCTAACACCTGGAATGCCTTGCAACACATGTCTCCATGCGTGACGAACAGTTGCTACAGACAGCTGATCCCATGTCTCC